CTACAGCATTTGATTTATATTTCAAATACATTCCGTTCTTTTGAACTATTTGTCAAAGAATCCTAAAAAAGCAGCACAATTGTTTTTCAAAAGAACAGCATGAAAAATTCAGCTTTGATATCACAGGAATACATTATTTTAATATATATTCAAATTGAGTTATTTTTAATTGTAGTAACATTTTACAATATTAATGTTTTTACTGTATTTTTTATCAAATAAATGCAGCCTTGGCGAGCATAAGAGACTCCTCTCAAACGCATGAACAATTTTTACTGACCCCAAGTCAGTGTATTCAAATATCTTCCGCACAGATTAAAGGCTTGTTTTATTTCATATTATTTTAAATTATTTCTTTACAAAGAAATGAAATGTGTTATGTGTTAATTACAAAACCTTTTGATAGCCCCAGAGTTTCTTTGTATAGTCTTTGTAAAGTTTGTAATGTTCTTTGTTAGCATGTTTTGTTTAACAAAGCAAGTCTGCACCTCCTGGAAACTACTCAAGTACACCATAAGGAATAGTGGTTGTCCTAGTTGGGAACTGCTGCATGAGATCATGACATCTGTAAATGCACATCAGTATAACAGAATATCACAAAGAAACATCTGTATTGTTCCATCACTGGAACTTCATACGAAATGTGAATCAAAATGAGCAAGGAAAGGGTTAAAGTGTCAGTTTCAGATCAGAGAGCAGACTAACACCTTTCAGCATAGTTCAGGCAAAATTACAGGCCCTCACATTCATGCAAGACTACCTCACCAGCAGCAACAGCTCCACTCCTCACAGCCTGTTCCAAAAATACACGGCTCACAAAGCCACAGCTTCCTGGATCTTTTTCATGCATTTGACACTCCAGATGTTACAGTCCTTACAACCCACAGCTGGATCCAACATAGATGATTTACAGGTTAAAAAACAAAACTCCCATCGCCCATAAATTCCTATCCTGCTATAAACACCGTACTGTACTTTCACCACGGTAAATCTCACCTATCGATCCATACAAGTTGCCGTCTTTATGAGGAAAGTGTATCCTTACCCTTAGCATGAACAGATCGGTGCTCCTGCAGCTTGCGGCAACCGAGCCCCATGTTGGCATGCGGGCGCCAAAGAGGGCAGCGCTACAGCTGTGCCATGTTAGTTACACCTCTGGCCCTCCTGGAAGGTGAATATGCAACATAGCTGTGTGCCAGGGGCGTGCGATTGAGGGAGAGAAAACAGAGAAAGGAGAGGAAAAAAAGTGTGCATGGGACGGAGAAAGATAGACAGAATAGAAGAGAAAAAAGAGTGAAAGAGAGAGCGCAAAGAACCCCACAGTACCATCACCGCCAGAAACCCGAAAAACAAGTCCTCTGTCTGCTTCATTCATTCATTAAAAAAAGAGTTGTTGTGTTCTCTTTTCTTCAACCTTTTTCTTCCCCGCCCCCCTGGTCTGTCAGACTCGCCCTCGCTCACCCTCATGAGCGGAGCCACCACAGTGCTCATCTTTGCCAAACACTGCAAACACCCCCCCCCTTCAAATACAAACAGACCCAGCTAATCAATCTGTGTGTGTGTGTGTGTGTGGTTGGGGGGTTGATGTGTCTTCTCACGGGGGGTGCCGGTTGAACATTTCTGCAAGCCTGATGCACAAATCTCTGCATGCTGCCTGGATCTTTCCCCCTATTAAATCTAACAGATTATTAATTAAAACTTCCCCTCTTTGAAGACATTTCGAAGACCACAAGGGGCTTTGTGTGTTACACAGATGCTTTTATTGCACATTGCCAGAAGGCTTTAGATCAGAGCTTTAAATGTACCAAACTGCAATCTTCACAGACAGAGCGTGGTGCTTCTGTCAGCTGTAAGGACATGCTCGGATCAGACCTCCCTACTCCAGTCTGCAGTCGTGCTTTTGTGTCGAGAGCAAGCGTAAATAGAGCCATTGTTTGAATGACTGATATAAAAAGACCAGGACTTATGGAAAGCGGGTTTAGTTTGGTGTACTTAACAAAACACCATTATATGCAGAAGCTCACGTTGTCCACCTTGCAAAAGGATTATAGGGGTGACAATAATAATGTATGTAGTACAGAATGAAAGAAAAATACATAAATGAAGGCCAGCGCAGAATCTCAACAACTACTGCATGCTTCATTCTCAGCAGAAGTTGCTAAGACTTGCCTTTTGTTTGGCCTATTTTTAAGAGCTATTCTTTCTCTAACTCCTAAGACTCTCAGAGACAAGGGATTTAGCCTTTATTGACTTAATCTTAATTTCACTAATCTGGGATGCAAGACCACCAAGACACATCAGAGGTTTTTGTGTCCACTCTTCATGCCAAACAATCAATGACTAATCAGTTTTAATTTTTACATAAAAAGTAAAAGAAAAAGTGTCATTTTCAAGCATGACAGTGTAAGTATGAATTTACGTAATCCTCTGTCAATACGTTTGAAAAAATACAGTAAAATCAGTAATATAGGTCACACTTTAGTTTGGGGGCCAATTCTCACTATTAACTAACTATTAGCTATGACTTTTGCCTCAATAAACTCCTAATTTACTGCTTATTAATAGTTAGTAAGGTAGTTGTTAAATTTAGGTAAGGGATCTAAAATATGGTCACGCAGAATAAGGCATTATTATGTGCTTTATACATACTAATAAACAGCCAGCATGCTAGTAATATACAGTACATGCTAATAAGCAACTAGTTAATAGTGAGAATTGGTCCCAAATCTAAAGTGTTACCATAATATTTTACTTCTTTATTCAAATTAACTATTGTCTATTTTATTATATTTTAAAATGTATTTTATTCCTGTGATGCAAAGCTGAATTTTCAGTCACATGATCCTTCAGAAAACATTCTGATTTAGTGCTCAAGAAACATTTCTTCTTATTATTAATGTTAAAAACTGTTGCACTGTTTGATCTGTTTGTAAAAACCAGTATTATTTGATGAACAGAAAGTTCAAATGAACAGCATTTATTTAAATTAGTAATAATATGTAACATTACACATTTTTACTTTCACTGTACTTAAAACTTTTGAATGGTGGTAATGGTTAATGATTTATTCATTTTCTCTTTTTACCTTTCATTCCATAATGCACTTGTTCATGCTTAGATTTTGCTTCAGCATGAAATTAAAGTATTAAAGTCTCAGGAAAGAATACAGACACCTCAGTCCTGAATGCCAAGTGAAGCCACGTGTTTGTGTAGGTTGAACTTTTATGCTCAGGTTTGACTGCTGTAGCAACAGCTTGTGATATTTACTTGTTGTAAATGAAAGAATTCTCTCATCAGTCATTTTATGACAAAGACGGGAGAGAGTCTGAGCGTTGCTAAGCACCTAAATAAAATATCCCAGTAAAAAGACAACAGCATTTCACTATAACATCATCAAAGCTATAAAAACTTGACCGTAGAGGACGAGTTTCATAATGCAAACAGATTTTTATATAGCATTTCTGCATAGGATGGGAATAAAAAACCTGACCGGTAGGGCCACAGATACATAAAGATAAAAAGTCCAGCTGTCATGCTTCAAAATACTTAGAGTGTATAAGATTTTCTAATATTGACAGTTAATGATTGCTTTCAATGGTTTCAACACAAGCAGCTGTGTCACTAAATGCATCCTGAAGGTCTCATTAAGCATGTGTCACTGCTGTGGACCACACAGGCAAATGTGTATCAGTTTCACCCATTTAGACTTTATTTTAAATCAAGGACCACCTGCAACAGCTCATGTTAGCCTGACACTCCATACTGAATTCAAGGTCAGCTAAGGTCGTGTCCTTTGTTTATGAGATGCTGGGTCAGGCTGTGCAGAATGATGCGATATGTGGAGGTTCCCAGAGTACATGTAAACAATAGATGCTTCAGCAGAATCTGTCCCACAGGAACATACTGCTGCATCTAGCATGACCCATGTGACACAACAATATTGGATTGTTTGCTTTGAATGAGGAATTCAGGCTAATCGTATATTATTCCTGATATGCGACACTCCAAAACGAATTAAATGAAAACTAAATAGATAAACCAGATGAATGACTCAACAATAACTTTACATTGTGGGTAATTATAAAGGTACCATTTGATACATATGACCTCCAAACAGAAGGATCGACTAGTGGAGACCACTGGTGAAAACTGGGTAACACTTTACAATAAGGTCCTATTAGTAAACGTAACTAAATGTATTAACTAATATTAATTACCAATGAGCAATACATTCGTTACAATATTTAATAATCTTTGTTAACATTAGTTAATAAGAATGCATTTGTTTATTGTTAATTCATGTTAGCTCAGGTCCATTAAATTATATTTACAACTTTTGTAATGTAGATAACTAATGTTAATTAATGGAACCCTTATTGTAGTGTTACCAAAAATTTTATTTTTTTCGAATCTACTAAAAAAAGGTAGTGATGCATTAAAATTCATTATATTATCCGCATAACTAAATGACAAATAAATGGTAATTTCAGGATATTGTGTACGTTCCCCTTTTGCCTAATGAAAGCAACACTTATATATTTCCTTTTTTTGTGTCATACATTTTTCAATTGAATTTTTTAAAATGATTTTATTACAAGGTTTAATGAAAACAAATCTGATTTTCAATAAGGTCTCAGACTTTTGGACCTTACTGTAGGTGGTCAGCGTTTTGCACATGAATGAATTTTAGTCTTCACAAATGTCCTTCATGTATCCTCAGAGGACACCTAATGCCCTCTAGTGATTAACTCTGGTAATGAGGAAGCTGTATTTCATCAGTAACAATATGCAAGCAGCTGCTCAGAGCCTGCAAACACAGTGCCTTATTTGTTTTCTTGCTTGATCATTATATTCCTCCTTGAGTGACAAGTAGGATGAAGAGTATAAGTAAGAATATAAAATATAACATGCACAGCTAGATTATGCTTGATGCCACAAGCCTTTAAACGCTTTATTAAATCAGACCACAGAAGATTCTGGTAAATTTAATTATCTCCTACCTGGAACTATTTCAAAAAGATGCCGCCCAGGTTCATCAGGATTGGCTGTCAGCTCATTGACTTGACTACCCTGCAACGGGATACATCCCTGGAGGGAAAAAGAAAGAAAAGATTGCTTTAAACAGTGAAAGCAGGTCTGAAGGGCACTTTTTAGAACAATTTGTGTTCATTCCGAACAGTTTTACATAATTTTAAGATGTTGTAAATGAAAATTTTTTTTCAGGGATAACTGGAGATTAGTCTTCCATTAGGCTATTGTAATTTGATCATTGATTTGTGGTGCTAATAAGCGCCTACAGGGGCTCACCTTCAGGGCAGATAAGGCAGTGTGGGATTATAGTTCACTGTTGTGTGCATGGCCCAATTTTACGCTGTAATCAGCAATGCTGAGTCATGCATAATTAGACCCAACCACAGTCAAATGATAAATTATGCACCAGCCTCCTTTAGCTCATCCTCCATTCTTCGCTGCCCCAGCATTAACGCAGCGATGCAAGTTCTCATCGCTCGACTAAAATTCCTCTCTGCCATTCAGCTGCAGTTAAATGAAATTTCAGAGGGTAGCATTGATAAGGGTAAATGCTTATAGGGTTACTCACTCAAATGCAAGCTGGGCACATTTCTGCAGCAGAGATTGAATTTAGCTGGGATGGAGATGGGGTGGGGGTGGAGAAAGAGAGCAGGAGCATTACAGGGAGTTTACAAGCTCCAGAGGAGAATAATACCAGTTGAAGGATGGATGAGCCAGAGTCGGCCGTATATGCTGAAGAAAGTCATGCTGCATTAGGGGTCACAGGTCGGCAGCTCTGTATCTGCTAAATGCTTTGACTTACACTACAGCCAAGCAGGAGGGCATGCTGTTTCCAAATTAGTTTGTCAGGCTAACAGCATGCTGATGTCATCCTGGTGTAATGGAGACACTGAGGAGGATATAGCTCCCATAGTGTTCCCAAAGCTTTGCTGACAGTGGACAATGAATCACTAGCATATTTATTTATTTATATATATATATATATATATATTTAAACAAAAATTATACATGAACAGCAAAAGGGGGAATTTTACAGGAGCTGAAAATGACAGTATGTTATTTATTTTATAAATAAAAGAGCAATTTGACCAATATTGTTTACATTTGTGTTGTTTAATCTTTTGTGCAAATTTGTGCATAGTCACAACTGTTTATTTTATGTTTTTAATATTTAAATATTTAAGTTTTTAAATGAGTAAATCTCTTATGCTTACTAAAGCTGAATTTATTGGATCAAAAATACATTAATATTATTAAATATTTTAAACAATTTAAAATAACTGTTTTCTGTTGTATTATATTTTTAAATATAGTTATTTTATTTAATTTGGTACATTAATATATTCCAGTAATACACTTTTCAATGTCACATTAACCCTATGAGAAATCATTCTAATATTTGGTGCTCACAAAACATTGATTGTGCTTTTGCTGCTTAATATTTTTGGGAAACAGTAATACATTTTTGTAATACATTTTTCTTTCAGGAAGTTCAAAAGAACAGCATTCATTTAAAACCGAAACCTTTTGTGACATTATAAATGATTTTACTGTCACTTTTGATCAGTTTAATGCATCCTTGATGAATAGAAGTATTAATTTTTAAAAAGTTGTTAAATTGTAATGGTCATTTAAAAGTGTATATGTTTATAACATGAACATACAGTGGTCCCAAACATCATATATCTAATGCAATGAAATTCATAACTGCCTGAGTGAATGCAGTGTTGTCTCTCCCATTGATTCAGGTTGAGCCCAATAACCTGTAGATGGCGTATACTGTGGGTTGAGGGGTTCAACTTGAAAACAGTGACGTCATTAGTTTTCTCACAATCAATGCTTAAATCAGTAAGATAAATAACATATAGATTTTTTTAGAGGTAGAGTTATTGATCAGATATTAAATAAAAAGTCAAGGTCTATTATTTTTAAACCTATTTTTACAACATTAACTGTCGCCTTGTTTAGACACAACAGGGCCAGATTTTATTTTGATTAATGTGACTGAAAGACAATCTTATATTCCAGATAAATGATATAATAATAAATAACCTGTCTTTATTTTTGTTCTCAGGTTGCTCTGTCGTCTGCCCACTGTACCTGGGGTTTGGTTTCCTCCTCATCTTTGTAGAAGTAGAGCTGGTCAGTTCTAAGCACAAACCAGCGCAGCTGCCAGTTCTTCATGATGCTGCGCTGTTTCTTAAGCCAGCCTGCTTTCAGCGCCCTGTCTTGGAGGCTGGGAGACGATGGCCTGCTGGAGCCACGGGAGAGCTCCCCCATGATCATGCTCTTAGACCTGGCTGGAAAAGTAAACACAAACACGTACACACATTCAAACATGTTAGGTTAGATTTCATGTCACATTTACAGTACATTCTCATTCTGCTCATCTAAACTAAGTGAATTAGCCTCTACTAGTCTGGACAAGTATATACACAGAAACACACATAAAAATGCATAGATGCATTTGGCAATGCAAGCAATTTGCACACCACAGCTGAAAACAAGATGTATCATGCATGCCTTATGACAGGCTTCTCGGTAATGCAAAAGCCAATTTTTTGGGCTTATTCATGAATTTAAATTCCTCTTATTTTGACCAGAGACAACCACAAACCACAGCAAAGCAGATCAGATTGGGCAGCTGTTTTTGAGAGGCATGCCCAGTGTCACAAGCAGCTGCTTTATACTTGTGGGCCGGAAGAGAAAAGAATCAATCCTTACTTTCCTGTGTGCTGAGAGCAGCAGGATAGCAGTAAACATGAGTGCACTCCCAAGCTTTCTTCATACAGCCATGTTTAGGATCACTCTGGATCATCTCTTTTTCTTCTTGTCCCACTGATCTTAGTTGTCAAGTCATGACAGATTTTTTTTCTAGCCTTTATCAGAGTGGCCTTCAGTTGCTGGGACATTCCCTCTATGCAGTTTTTTTTTTCCTTCATATTAATAAGTATGTATTAAAATTCTATATTAAAAAAAAAATAAAAAAAATAAATAATTGGAAACCATATTCATTTCTTTTCATGTTAACACATTTTCACAATGAAGTGAACATGAATTTTAAATAATTGTATTACTTTCATTTTAATGCCAATTTAATGTTTAATAATTGTTGCAATTATACTTATTTATATACTAATATATACTATATTTTAATATATTAAGACAAAAATCCATTTTTATTTTGTTCCTTCTTCAACTGAAATGTTTTTTCAAATTTATTGGAAAAATATTAGAATATCATTAGAATATTCTAATATAATTAATAATCAAATCAAATCAAAAAGTTTCCATTCTGTTAGATTTTTTAACATCACTGCAACTAACACAAGCCAGTTCCTCAGTGACATCATCCTCCAGGATCTGATGTCAATTTTGGTGGACGAACATCAACACATTTTTTGTGGTTTGTCTCACTGTTAAACATTCTGCCCTGTTTTATGAAATTACATATATGATTAATTTTTTTTTTTTTTTTTTTTTTTTTTTTTTTTTTTTTTTTTTTTTTTTTTTTTTTTTTTTTTTTTTTTTTTTTTTACAAACATTGTATTTAAAAAAAAATATATATACAAATATATAAAATTACTGTATATTATATAATATTATATATAAAAGGTAACAGCATCATGTAAGTGAATTCTCAGTTCCTCACTAAACATTTTTACCCTCCTGTTACATTCTATCCTATTAACTTTCTTGCCATTGTGTAAATAATCAAGTTATAATTATACTTCCTTAAATTACAACTCAAGTATATTATTTCTTTCTGTGTTACAGAGTTGAAAAGGTACTGCATAACAGCAATGACCTGACCGCTCCTCAGTCTCTCCGTCTGAATGAAGGCTGCTGATTCAATCACTGTAAGTAATGGAAGCCTCATCAGTGTTAATGTACACCTCACAGCCTCGTAGAGAGAAAGAGTGAGAGAGCACAAATGGGACAAGGAGGGTGGGAGAAAAGCCCCTAAAATCATCTTGCCCTTTGAACAACAGTCTCCAGGGACACACAGAAAGGTGTTTCTCCTTATTACCTATAAACCTAACGGCCAACTCTCAATAACACGCAGGTTGCTGACCGGGCAGAACGTTCAACATCAGAATTTTCCTCCATTTGTCTGATTTTATGCTCCTGTGACATGTTCGGTCTAAAAATACTGGAAGTTTGACCAGACCCATGCATATTTTATTCAGACTCATTTTTTGGAATGACAAAAGAGCCTTTTTTATGTGTCTGTTCCTTAAATATTCTTTCAGGGCTTTGGTACTGAATTTGAAGACTTGTTAAAAAATTATTAAGAATTAATATCAACAATTAATCTCTGTCTGAAGTGATCATCCTGCTTAAAATAGCCCCGTAATAGAGTTTCGTACAAGACATGTTTTATGAGGACACCTTGAGTATGGCATGAGGAACAGAATAATAATGAATTTTATGTAGTTCCTATTGGTTTGGATTATTCCTTATAGTTCAACTAATCCAGCTCTATTATAACCATCTTGTAGTTTACAGTAGGCATAAAAAATAAATATATGCAAAATGCAAGTGAATAAATAGATCCATCACGACTTCATTTTTTCCACTTGTACTATGTCTAAAAACATCTGAACTTTCGAAATGAATGTTAACATGTAATGTAACATTAAAGGACAATCAAAATAAATAATATTAAATAGATTTAAATATAAAAGAATTCTGCTATCTATCTACCTGTCATACTTCCTGATAACTAATTCCGCATAAGTACAGCACAAAACTGAATGGCGATTGTCAGTCCACCTAATGTTCCTACACTCCGAGTGAAATATCACAGCAGTCGGCAAATGAAACCTGGCAGTGTCTTTGAGCCTGTTGTGCTGGAATATGTGCTGCAGCCGCTTAAAACACAGCAAACCCAATACCCTCATCAAAAGTGACACAATCCATATGCAAGATGACAAATGCAGAGCCCAGCAGACAGACAGTGTACTTCAAGTGCTCCTGTTTGCTTTATGTTGCACAGCAGGCAGAAATCAATCCACAAATAGCCTTTTACTGCTGAAGCAGACAAGCCTATTCTCCAGGAGAAATAATCAGGAAAAACCATGCAGTTATCAGTTCAACTTTAAAAATGATATTGCACCTGTTTTGTGCATGGAATTGATCAATGGTAACATTGTACAATAAGGTTCAATTAGTTCATGCAATAGGTATCATAAACTAACAATGAAGTATCTTCATTGCAACATTCATTGGATAATGTTAATTTATAAATATACTATTGTCCATTCATATTACTTTATTTATACAACTGTTAAAAATCCATTAATATATGTGGAAATTAACATTACTTTCCACATATATTATAAACATAAACATAGTTCATGACGCTTAATGCGTTAACTAATTAAAACTTATTGTACAGTGTTATGTGATCAATAAACTTACGAGATACTGAATGTACATTTAATTTACATTATAAGCCCTGATGTTATAGCAGGCTACAGGCTTTTACTCATGTAGGTGAAACTGTTTGACATTCAGCTGTTATGATTTATTACACCTGCAAGTCCCTTGATTCTAAGTGTCGAAACTACAATTCATCATAGTCCAAGAATAGAATGCAAGTAGAGTTCATTTTACAGAAAAATGGCATTGGATTATAATGTTCACAATTATTCTGGACTTGTCTGCATCATGTACTGTACACTCTTGAAAATAAAGGTTCTTTATTGGCAATGATGTTTCCATGAAGAACCTTTAACATCATGGAACATTTCCATTCTACAAAAGGTTTTTTATAGTGAAAAAAAAAAAATTCTTCTTATTAAAATGTTGTTCACACTAAGAAAAAAATAACGGTTCTTTGGGGAACCCAAAAATCATTCTTATGATATTGCTGCAAAAAACACCTTTATTTTTAAGAGTGTCCCACTATGAAATATCAGACACGATCAGCATGTGTCAGGATCCGAATCATGACTTCCTGGTTAAGGAGTGTGACACAAAGCCAAAGACCACTTACACTCATTAACCACTAATCAAGCTGAAAGATGTTACCAAGCAACCGCCCAGTCTATTGGATCACTGACATGGAGCCTCAGAGATATACAGCCCATCACTGAGCTGTGAGATCAGCGGACTAGTGGAGCAGGAGCTGGTACTGAGCGCAGCTAATGCAGCCAGAAGAGGGTGTTGCTACGGATGGGAACGCAGGACACTGATGCTGTGAGAATTAAAGGTCTTACCTCTCCTGGACTGTCTAATCTTGGGACTTAGCATGGTGTTCATAGCTGAGCAACACTGTCCTCCATCCACATGTTGCGATCCGCACTCTGCTCTCCTCCTGAGCCTCGCCCTGTTGCACCTCTTCCGCCTGCTCTGGACAGCATCTGTTTTCCTCCCTCCCTTCTCTCTCTCTCTCTCCCCCCTTTCATGTCCCACTGGCCCGCTGCACTGAGCGGCACGCTTCCTGGGCCCCTCCCACCCTCATCATGCAGAGGCAGCTGGAGGAGAGAGACCTCTTGCACACGCTCAGATCCACCCTTACCCATAATGCATTATTTATCCCACACCACCCAAATTAATTCCACTCTGGACCAGCCATTAAAGGCCTGGATGATTACACTCAATAATTCAGTGAAGCAGAAACAGAAGGGCTTTTGTCATTTCTCCCCCTTCGCTGTCCCTCCTAATTGGCTCTTTAGTATAGTGACTGTATCTGCATGTGCCTGTGTGTACGATTTTAGTTATACTTCTATATTTCCCTCCTTCACTCTACGTTAGCTTTTTTTCAGTCAATGTTTTGCTCATTGCAAATCACTTCCAAAAACAGATGTTAAAGGGTTAGATTGGCCAAAAAATGTAAATTCTGTCATCATTTACTCACTCTGATGGGTTAAACACCCATATGCTGTTTTTTTTTGTGTACCACAAAGAGAATTTTTGAAGAATTTTCTGATATTCCCCATATAACAAAGACCAGAAACAACCTAAAAATATAATAAAAGTAGTCTACCTATATATGATTTGTGTGCTTTTTTGAATAAAATAAAAATAATGTAATTAATAAAAAATAAACTAAAAAAAGTTTCAGAAGAATTAGAATGTGGCTATTTTCATGGTGATTTTATAATTTTTTGAGGTTGACAGACATGGTCATTATGTCATTTATGAAAAGCTGCATATAAATATTTTTCGAAATATAATGGAACAACATGGGGGTGAAAAAATAACAGATTTTTATTTTTAGGTAAACTTTTTATTCATCCCTCATTTAGCTTTAACTGTATTATTAGTGTTTAGTAGCTACTTTGATATAAAAAAAGTTTCCTAAAATAAATTCTGTCATTTTCACAGCATCCATGTTACACGTATTGCATTTCACAACAGTATTGTTGCAACAGTAACAATACTTAGATTGCAGAACTACAAAGTGAATGTATGTCAGAAGATTTGAGAATCCATTTAAAAAGTTTATGCTGAAAGGCTCACAGTAAGAGCTAAATAAACAAAGCCTCTACTTATTAATGAGGCATTCAATTAAGCATCTAGAATATACTACATACATAGTCATAGGTCATATAAATGTTATGACCTGTTAGTCGTAGGCAAGTTATAAGAGATGTTGCAATTAAATTACTATAAGAACACTTCCAGTCAAATAAGATGAATAAAAAAAGTCACTTAATTACCTAAAAATCTCCATCGTCTCTCCATCGTAGTAAACACTCCGAGTTGTACATTAGGGCTTATGATTTAGCATAGTCATGTATGGCATTTGAAACTAACCGCTTCAAATATCTGTGTAAGTAAAAGGAGAACTACAGTTATAAGTGTAAAGTTCAGCAGTGTGACAGAGCCAGAGACTCCCACTAAATATCCTAAGGACCTAAGGGGAGGAGAATGATTTGCCAAGAATGAATCAGATCTAATAAATCCACATCTTAAAAATGTGTCCACGTTATCAAAAAAAAGAACAATAGTGGTTCTCAGGAGAAAATGTGTCCCTCCAATACAAACACTATGAGATCAGTGTTTTTTATATTCACTACTCTAGATTAACTAAAGTCTAGCTAAAAATATGTACTTAATTGCATAATAAAGGGGAAATTTACAAAAGCTGAGAGGTGTAAAATCACAAGAAGGTTGGTAGACTGACGGAGACATCTAAGGAAATGACGACTGCTAATGCAGAAGTGAAAACAGCAGGGCAGTGTGCAAGTGCCTCTTATTATGGCCTTATATGTCATTTAGTAGGATGTTTTCTATACTTAGTACTGATTAAACAAATGCAATAAATGAAGAGCAATGATATCAAGTAGTGCAAAGTGGTATGTATAACAGTACTACTTTATGGAGTCGAGCCCAGGGCAGTGTAAAATGTGTGATTGCCCTGGAAAAGTCATGTAGTATTAAGTGTTAATACAGATAAAGGAGGAAAATTATTTTTGAATTGAACATCTAAATGTAATTCAGACTCCAAGTATAAGCCTGCAACTATCATTAAAATACAAATCGTCCAGGCCGAGTCTAGCGTGGGACCAAATAAACTAGCAGTTAGACTGAATTATAATTTAATCCAATAATAGATATAGAGGGAATGAAGATGAGCACATGATGCACTGATTCACTGTGAAAGACTGAAGAGTTTTCGACTGATAAGGAAACAAATGCTTCATACAGACAAAGAAGTTGTCCAAGAAAATACAATAAACGCCCTAAATCAAACCCTGGACTTGGATGTCCCACCTTGAATATGAGATTGAATAATATGCTCTCTTGCATTACCAGGACCCTGCAACAGTAGTATCAGAATGCTTTTACTCACTGCCATGTCACTTAGACCAATGATATAGGTCTGCTGGTATGGTATTACTGCAGCAAAATCAATGGAAAATTAGCAGCAGACTACACAGGCCTCGCAGATGATTAATGATGGACACCCATCTTAAAAGCAGGGCTGGGAATGCAGTGTGTGCGTCTCCAAATGCTGTCAGAGCAGCCAGAAGAGAAGAAACAAAGCTGCCTGTTCTGATCAAGAATTACTTAAAAAAATTAAAAAATATATAAATGAATAAATTTAGTGTTAACCCGCTTATCGGTGTATATATAGTTAAGCCCATTCAAATTGATGTTACAAAACAAATTTTATAATCTTTATTTTGTAGAATAATAAAAATCAAATACTTTATCCCGATATAATATGTTAATAAATGACTGGGCATCCACTTTAAGTGCAATGTTTTTTTAAAAAAAAACTCACTTTGCATATTCATTTGGCCTCATTCAAATACAGATTTATTTTTTACTTCAAAATATTAAATGAGAGATCAAAATGTATACATTTACACTGAAAGACATTTATTTAAAATGTTTCCTATAAAAAGACATAAATTAAAAATTTACAATACAGATACAGTTATGGCACGACAAGGCAGCAGTGACCTCTGTTCATGTAAAGCACTATTATGAAGATTTATAATCGAGGTAATATAATGTTTGTTTGTTTTTTCGTTTGTTTTTACAAACTATGGGAGTCAATTTAGCAATCTTAAATTGACGAAATATTCCCTGTAAATCAAGGCTGGAATATACTACGCAACTTTTAGACTCTTAAGAGTTTTTAGCACAAAATGCATTATACACTTGCTGACATTGTAAATGGTTACAGAAAAAACTGGGCATTATACACTAAACAAATAAGGATTGCATCGACTGTCACGTCGTTTCGAACATAAACTGTAACAGAAAAATGCATCTCATTGCAAGGAGATGCATGAGAAATGAAAACAACATTTGGTCTAAAATCATCTTAAAATATTAATCATGTTCGATATCCTTCGAATGGGTAGGCTGAAGCTAGAAAATATGAATCTGTGCCCATCATGCACTATGCATCTTTTTGTGAAATATGTAACCTTGACTGTCCAAAATCTGCAAACTGGCTTTGACTTTCAGCAACTAGTGTCAGCTCCTTCAGACTGTAATTCAGAGCAACATCTGGACAAAAGTTACATATTCAAGCATTTATAAACAAAAATAAGAAACTAAGCTTTGTTATTTCAAAGTCTCTATATGTTAAAAGACTGACTGCGCTCCTGTCTTCTTTTCCCTTCAAGCAGAAAAGAGAGGATTGTGCCCAACCGTTGTCTTTTAGAAGGCACTTTGTGGTTGTACCGCCTAAAGTAGGTGGTGGTTCCCATGGAAATGGCATGAAGCTGCTCAACTAGCAACCATCCCACCCAGGTCAGAGAGAGGAAGTTGAGCAGAGTCAGCAGGAGGACCCAGGCCTCTCTTCCTGCCACTGAGCCCCAGTCAGACAGCTGCAAGCCTGAGAGTTTCAGGTAGAGGAAGTACACCGCACAGAGGATGAAGATGAGGTGAGCCATTACCATAGACATGATGAAGAGGATGAAGATGCGGTGGTTGTCCCGTCCCACACATTGATTGAGGAAGAGGCAGTGGTGGTCGTAGTCTTGGATGCACATGTCACACAAACGGCAGTGTTTACAGTTGTCCACTTGGATCAGCTGAAAGAAAATAGCTTGTGCAGTTTTGAAATTTGAATTTTGATAATAACAATAATAATACATTTAAAAATATATATATAATTGTTGTACATGGGTATTTAACATGGTTGGTTCAACCATACACCCCTCAAAAGAAAACATATTTAATGCTGTGAATAAATGAACTTCATCTCAAAATATGTCAGCAAACAGATTAAGATCCAGTTGATTATTATTATTTAATATATATATATATATTTATATGAATTAAAATATTGATTATTATTTTAAACAACAACAATAATATTAAATATAAAATAATTCAATTGATTTAACCATTCAAAAATAGTTCCAACCCTCCAAAGAAAACTATTTTGATCAAGTACATTTTAAAAATCAGAAAAGAGATTCAGATACAGTGCTGGTTAAATAAGTGCTCACCTCACAGTAAATACAGAATCTGTCCGGGCTCTTTCCAGCTTCTATTAAGTCTCCTATGCTGGAAAACTTGGAATCAGTGTCAGCTTCTTTGAGTCGTCCTGGGTTCTGGTTTAAAGCTTTCCAAAAAAGTCCAGCGAGCACACAAAAATGGACAAGTGAAACATTTAAGAGGGTATAAGCTGGCCAAAAACGTGAGCGGTCAAGGAATAATTGACAAAACATCCAAAAGATTTCAACTTTTGAAAGAGGTTGATGACATAAGCTATCTGCAAAGGATATTAGGTAAAATTTTATAGAGAAAGCAAGCTATGGAATGAATTAGGCCCGCAGTCAGTGTTCCCAGGTAAACAGGGTTTGGTAACCTAAAGTCCAAATGAAAAAGATGAAAAAAGGTCATTATGCAATCATCATCCTTTATATTAGCAGTGATAAGCAATGCAATTTCC